TAAACTAGCTCGACGACTGTACAACCTATATCGTCCTTTATGGTTGAACGGATTTCCAGGAGTACGAGTGGTAATGCGTCACTCCACCATGATGTATCATCCTGTGCCATCAACGAGCTTTTTAATTAGCGGTGAAACGTTTCGATCAACCCATTAGATGCTAGGTGATAGGCTGTTGTTTGATGTGGTTCACACCCAGAAGGTTTGTGAATTCCTGAAATAGTATAAACTGGAACTGGAGACCACGGTCTTTAGTGACGATAGATGGTACTCCGTAGTTTGCTATCCAACGGTCAAGGAATGCGGCGGCCACTATCTCTGCAGAGGTGTCGGTAATAGGACATGATATAGCACATCTTGTGAACCGGTCCACTGCGGTGAGGATGTGCGTGAATGAATTTGATGGTGACAGTGGACCGACTGTGTCTAGATGAATGTGTTGGAAACGTTTCTCTGGCAGAGGGAACCTTCCAACTGGACTGATTGTGAGTTTCTGAATCTTGCTGCGTTGACATTGTAAGCAGCTTTCAGTCTAGCGTTTTATATCTGAGTTAATCTTTAGTCATACGAAACGTTCGGTGTTCAATTTAGTGGTGGCTCTGATTCCTGGATGTGAAAGTTCGGGCAGTTGCCGGAATACTTGACGTCGACAGGCTTGAGGGGCGATTGCTCTCCGTTAAAATGTCGCAAATAATAGATGCATTAAAGGAAGGAACAGGTACGTGTTTGAGTATCAAGATAGACTTCTCTTTGCAGCTTTTTTATGTCTGCGTCGTCTACTTGTAATTTTGCGATTGTTTCCAGATCAATGTCATAGTGGCGTTAGCTATCATGGACTTCGCTTTCTGTAATGCCATTTTGGCATCAGAAGGTAGCTTAAATATTTGATTCTTTTCCTTCTTCGTACCTTTTTTGTCACTTTTCAGCACGTCAGTTAACGGCTGTAACATTTCTGTACATAGCAGGAATCGGCGGTAAAAACTGCACGTTCCGATAAAACGGCGTAATGATTTTACGGAAGTTGGTTCAGGGTAACCGATAATAGCTTCAACTATCTTTTGAAGTGGCTTAATGCCTTAAGAGTCAATGTAATGCCCTAAAAACTCCAAGGCTGGGAGGCCGAATATACATTTTGAAGGGTTGATAACAACGCCATGTTTTTCAAGACGTTCAAAGAGGATCTGAAGGTGCTGGACATGTTCTTTTGTTGATGAACTAGCGATCAAAATATCGTCGATGTAGGCGAATACGAAATCTAGACCTCTTGTAACAACGTCCATGAATCCTTGCACTGTCTGTGTGGCATTTTTTAGTCCGAATGGCATTATTAGGAACTCAAACAGAACAGAAGGTGTAATGATGGCTGTTTTTTCGATGACTTCTGGTGCCATCGGAATTCGGTGGTATGCACGCACAAGGTCGAGTTTCGAGAAGATACATTTACCATGTAAGTTTAGTGAAAAATCATGTATGTGTGGAATAGGGTACCTTTCAGGAATGGTTTGGTTATTCAGACGGCGGTAATCACCACAAGGACGCCAGTCTTGCTTTTTCTTTGGTACCATGTGCAGTGGTGAGACCCAAGAACTGTTAGATGGCCTAATAATACCAAGTCGGATCATGTGTTCAAATTCTCCCTCAGCCGTTTGCAACTTGTTTGGTGGTAGTCTCCTCGCCCCGGCGTAAATGGGTGGACCGGTGGTACTAATGTGATGTCCCACATTACGTGGGTTGCATTCCTTTTAATAGTCTGCTTTAGTTATGCACTCATATTTAGTCAGGATGTCTTTCAAAATGTTGTTCACAGGTTTCATTATTCGTACACCATGAATTTCATAGTCAGTAGTGAGTGTACCGTTCACCAGCAAACGTGTATTTTCGTCAATCAACTTCCTTTTACCGTATCAACTAGTAAACTATAGGCGCTGAGAAATTCGACCCCGAGATTCGGTTCCTTGACTTGGGCGACTATAAAAACACGTAAATCTACTACGGAGTCCGAGTTCAAATATGAGGGATCGCTCACAGTAAGTTCTAATGACCGTGATGTTAGCCGCGATAAGAGACAGTCTGGTGCTTGTCGTTTGTTGTCGTCGTGAGAGGTGAAGGGGGTTGGTGCTGATTTCTGCTCCTGTGTCGACTAAGAAGTCTGAGCCAGAAATACGATCTCTGATGTGAAAAAGGCAGCTAGCGTGTTGGACGGTAAAAGACAACGCCATCACTCTCTGGCCGGCCCGCTTCCCTGTTTTTCATGATTACTGGTTATGAAGTTGCACGTTTGTGTGCAACGACGTGGTTTCTTACCATACTTCAGATGATACCAACATATTCCATCTGCGCCTTTAGGTGAACGAGGACGCTGTCTGGACACTGATCTTTTTCTTAAAATGGATTTATTCGGTCGTGAATGGATGCTCGCGTTAGTAGCTTGTAATGCTGCTGAATGAGTTGTTAACTGCCTCAATTGTTGCTGGATGTTGAGTGTAGTGTTCGTATCGTCTTTACCGAAAGTTTGTATCCCATATGGACAATGATTGTCAGGATATATCTCCATCATCTTTCCGCCATATGTGCTAGGTCTTCTGAATTAACAGAGCTTCCTGACACACTAAGAATCTGTCTGACGTTATGTGATAATCGCTGGAACCACATTTGTTTAGGTAATACTTCATCTAATTTATATGGACCCGCTAACTGTTTCCTATGTCGTAGCGACTGCGACGGTCTCTTGTCCCCACGTCCGCATGGTGTGAACAGTTGTTGTAGTAGTTTTTCACCAGAAATTGATGCACGTTAGATTACGGCAGTTTTAATTTTGTCATAAGGATCAGTCTCTGGTACATGGTCGATCAAATCCCCAACTTCCGTAACGATTTCGATGGGAAGTGCGCCGACAACATAGGTATATTTGGTCGCCTGGGAGCGTATGCCTTTCGCTCGTAATAAGGCTATTACTTGCGCGAACCAGATTCTGGGGTTGTTGGCACCATATGCCGTTAGTCTAAACTCGGAAATGGCATTGACTGAGCTTAAAATATTATCATCTGAATGTAATGAGTTGAGGAGGTACAGTGTCAGCAGTTAACAGAGTGTGTCATGCTATGAAAGTAACACGACGGAAGGAAGTGTTCAAGGTCATACACTTAACCAAGACGTACAATCATTTAATGATAAACTTACGTGCAATGAAAAAAATTGACAGAATAAATACAAACAACAAAAGCCATTTACAAAATTAGCTTGTCAAATATATCTCCACAAAGCTGGGGCAAAGTCTGCACAACTTAGATAATGCAATTAAGGATTTTTATAACTCTTATTCTAAGACTCAGAACTGACCGAAGAGAGGGAAACAACGGTAAGCTGTGATGCCGTATCTTTTCGCAATAGTATTTCAGTCCAGAACGCCTAGAATTAATTAGCGGTTTGCAAGGTAATGAACATACCTTATTTGGTTGTTGTACATTGATTATTAGTTTAGTCATGAAATCCCAAAATTTCTGCTAACTTCAGTTGTACGAATAAAGCAACCGTGTGAAAATGGAATACACAACTCCCATGACTTTAGCTAGTCTATTCGTGGCAAATGTAGAATCAAGTATTCTCGTCATTTACATCAGACCCTTGAATCGGCCTAGTTATGTGGATGATGCCTTCGCAATCGTGTAAATGTTGTTTCACAGGGTTTAACCAAACTGATCAACGCAATTGTATCCAAAATTAAATGAACTTGCGAAAATAAAAAGAAACACAGTCAGCTATCATTTTATGTTGGTTAGTTAAAAGGAGTCCTAGTAGAACTGTAATCTAACTACTTATCATAAACCAACGCACTCTATCGTTATATCGACTTCAATTCAGAGCACTCACTCGATGTGAAATTCCCTCTAACTTTATGTCTTTTTAGAAGAGCTAAAAATATTATCAGGTATGAACAGAATAAACGAAAGGCACGAAAGCATATAAACAAGATTTTGCAGTTCAATCGTTTTCCGATAGGTATAATTAAAAGTGAACTGAAATGAAATGATTTATTATTAATTAGCAGTTTGCCATAGATTCCATGTATCAGTACCGTAGTTCCACCATGACGTCATGGTACGATAGAACTTCGATGTATCTTAAAACACCATATAATGACATCATACTACAAAACAACAAACACACTTCAAAGTTTTAAAGTCAGTATAAAGGATAAGACGCTCTCTACTCTAACAAAGAACTGTGTCCAAAGATTAGTGTATGTCAGTTCTGATAATTTAGATATTGCATAATCCTTTCGTGAACTACTGATTAGAGTCGAATACCACCCAACCAAATACTGAAAACCTAATAATCCTGAAGAACTTGTAGAACTTCAAATTAAAACAACAACAGTAGTACATGCCATCTTCAGTAGCTGTTATTTACATATCAAAACATCGAAATAGTGCAAACTGGTTCTTTTGATACCAATGATAGGGGATTAAGTGAAGTTCTCGAATATATGGCCAAATTCAACGACCCTCAGGAGAAAAAACTTTATCATCCATCCGACTTAGACTATCCATTCTTAACATCATTTCTCACTTTGTTTACATCTAACACCATCATAATACAGACAAATTTAGGTCTACTTTTTCATATTGCAAACGCAACACACATCAACAAAAAAGTACCTCATATACAAACCACACTGACCGAGGTGGGATGACAGTGGATAAGTCAGACTGGTTTATGAATAACTACGCAAAAAATACTTTGTTACTCTGTAATATTTAGGCTTGAGTTGATTCATTTCTGTTTATTTATTCTTTAAGAAAGCGGCTTACACTGGGGCACTATACTTCGAGAAATTTTTCTACTCATTGAGACAAAACGGATACATTAGGTTTATCATGAGAAATTCACATTATGTGCACTCTATTTGGATTTATATGGTAAAACTTTGAAAATAATTTGTTGTGAGACAACTTGTTTGTATAATATTGCTTCTGTGGCAGATTTTTAAACTCATTAGCATGGTAGGTTGTGTGTTGTTGATGGGTATCTTGTAGACTAAAATAAGGGCGTCAAAGCTACGTAATAAACCAGAGCCCGAACTACAGAAGCAACTTGGAGAGCTTAAGACGGAACTTGGCAATCTTCGTTTGTATCGGGTAACGAGAGGAGCATCCTATCATGGAAAATTGAAGAAAATGTAAGTATTTTGCTACCAAATGTTATAAAAATCTCACTTTTAGCCGGACACTAAGAAAGTCCATTGCCCGTGTATATACAGTTATTCATCAGGCACAAAAACTGCGCCAACGTGAAGCTTATCGTTCCAAGAAATACGTTCCTAAAGATTTGAGACCAAAGAAGACCAGAGCAATACGCAGAAGACTTACAAAGAAAGAGCAGTCAATTCATTCTGCGCGTTCAATGCGCAAGGCACGTGCCTTCCCTCCTCGTGTATTTGCTGTTAAGTGCTAAGTAATAAAAGTTTTGGTCAAAAATGGATCATGAAAGTGCTGTTTGATTTCACTTAAATTCGTTATCCCCTGGACGCTAGATTCGTTAACACTAACGCTATTGTAGTTTGCTATGTGTGTCGGTTGCATATAAACTTGAACTGACTTGTTATATCTATGCTCATAAGTACCATCCCTAATATATATATATTCTGTATGTCTAATTTAAAGTCTAGTTGAGTACGATCCCCAAACTGCTACTTATTAAATATATCAGCGAAATCTGACCAATCATCAGTGACGTGATTTGCGTCGAATGTTGCACATAAGGAAGTGGTTGTAGTGTCAGTATTATTATATAATTACTGGTGGTTGTTCGCAATACTTTCAGAGATGACGATTCTAATTTGTGTTATACCTTGATTGATAAATTGTAGTCACTGAACACGTGGTCTGTATTGCTTGTTTTCATTTTGGATATCTGTTCACAACTATTGGGGTCTCGTTGTGTTCATATTTGTCTGGCTTACTCAGCAGCTCAACTGTCCATTCACAACAGGAATGAACATAAAAGGTTTTGGCTATAATAACTTTAAGATGTAACTGGTTAAACTAAGTTGATTTGACAGTTTTTGCTACTATCCATCTTGTTCTAGCAGCTATACAACGGAACGTTTACGCCTAGTAATTCGAAGTATCAGAGGCTGACTACTTTTCTTCATATGAAGTATCTGAGCTGTTTATTCCTGCCTTTAAACTTCTGACTGATGTATGACAGCAAATTGAACTTGTTCGGATTAATAATGATAAACATTCTTTATTATTCTACTAGAATCTCAACGTTTTTTACTGACCTTGGGATATTTGCCATACGGAAAAACCTATACATCTGTCATTAATCGTACTTTACAAACACGAATTTTCTCTATTTATCAACTTGAGGTCTGGTGTTATCATTCACTTGACCAAACTAAAACTCAGTAAACGCGTTGCATGTCACTTTAATCTTGTTTTTGTTCAGTTTGCGTATAAAATACTGTATACATATGATATCTATTAGTAGTTTAACATTGCTTGTGATTTGATGATATGTGCTAAGATCCCAGTTTGTTGTTATTTTTAACAGGTTTCATTTCAGATTAGCTATAGTAGTAGTAATGTTTTTGGTATCATATATATTGATAAGATTTTTTCTGGTCGTTGGGCAGGCGAATGAATGTATTCGGACAGTTCTGGTACTGCATCTTACGTCCCCTCGCTGCCTTATGAAGTGGATCTCAAAACATTGTTTACATTCTCTATTGCAATGCATGTCGGTGAACAGCTTGTTTTCATGTGACATGCACATTTCCGATTGCTTTTAACGCACACTTAATTGTTAAAATTGGTTTCGTCCGGAAGATCCTATATCTCTTAGAGGTTGGTTTATGTTAGCTATCAGTAGCCATATCAATAACCTATCCTTGTACCAGATGTGTCATCTAGATATGCTTTATATCGAAGAGCATCACACAACTATACTGCGCGTAGCGTAGGTTAAGACGTATACGACGTGTAAATTTGTGTTAGCTATAAACCATACATCGTGAGGTAGTAATAATATTCAGTTGACTAAACTGAAGTTCGCGCATTGCCGAATGTTCATGAAGCCTACTAAATGACTGAACTAAAGTGGTCGGTGTTTTTCGGACTTGGAAGCAGTCTTTGGACCTGGTAACCCTTGAAAACTATACCAATTTATTCACACTACTAGCTACGGGCTTGGCAGTTGTTAAACAATCTGCAGGACGCTAGTAGGCGTTTCAAAAGAAAACCCCGAACTCGAGACCGCACTTTAGTTTTGAGAGTTGTAAGAATTAAAATACTGAGAAATCAAAGGTCACTCAGTGTAAACAACATGTACCAAACCTTTTCCAACGATCGATGCAAATTTCCTTACAAGTTTATAACAGACATTCGTAGATATTTGGTAACCATCAATGTAGAAGACATTATCTTTTCATCGTTTATTATTCACATGAACGGTTTGGACAGTATATGTTTGAACATGTTCTTATGATATGTCCAATCTATTATTAGAGTTTGCAGGTGAGATCATTCTATTCGACGAAGAAGCTGACAAAATACTGGGTCATTTGGACCTTTAGGATGGTCGTACAAGGTTTAAAATGGCTTTCCTTTAGTGGTCCGGAATGTTGCTTTAGAACTAATCTACGTCAGTAACTAAACTTACATGATTTAAACTAGCTGGAGACTCCTTATTTCAACTCTCGTCAGCCCTGGTTGTTTGTTTTTATTAATGATCTTTCCCCATGGATTCGAAAGATACCTTGATATTAACCAACTTTCATCACGTTGAGCATAGAATTGTTTATTTGTCAACATATAGGGACGGGTGAGACTCAACAGTCTTTTCTATATTACTCTGTGGCTGTAGAATTTCCATGCGTAATTCGATGTACAATGCTGATAGGAACAAGTTTCATTAATGTTGAAGATCGCTAAATTAGAATTCTGTTGTACTGAACCATGTTGGCTGGTAAACGCAGACCACTTTGTTGATGACAACAGTCAGTATTTAGATCTATTGAGTGAGATGTCTCAATCAGCCGAAGGGGTGTTAATGAGTTCCTTTAGCTGCTAAGTTCCAGTTTCTCTACCCATATACTGTTGTGTCTTTAAGTCTGGCTAGTTATCACGTAATTTATTCGCCAATCGAAATACGACCTAATCACTCTTGTACTGTGCTAAGTCAATGACGTTCGACTGGTCTTATCAACCTAGCGTCCTCATTGGTTATTTGCTCGCCTAACCCGTCCATCTGAGTCCAGAATACCAATAACAGCTTCCGCTATGCTAATCATTTCTCCAGACATACTCGGTTTATATACCAGCCAATAAATAGGAAATAACATACACAATAAAGCCAAAAAGTGGATGTGGACATGGGAGACAGTAATTAGTAGACTGAGTATAAGTTAAGAACAGTAAGTTTTATAATAAATAATAAGTCAAAATGAAGTTTATAAGATGGATATAGATATACACAGTCAAGTTACTGAATAGTTATACAATAAGAATATTGGTCCATTAACATATCTCTGAAGTTACTCGTGGTTTAATCTTCACTACATACAGTTGGTTCTCTTTATGAATTTAAATAAAGCAAGAACAAATAATGGTGCAGAATAGTATGAATTCATATTATTTCGAGGTTTCTCGTCAGCTGCTTACAAACCAAAATTGTGATAGAATTTTCACATTGAGATAGAGTGAAAACAATTGACATAGATGAGTGTAAATAACTAGGTTACGATAATTATATATATATATATACATTTGTGTTCATTCAAATGATGAACTCTTTATGTCTATGGAAATTACCTTTCTCACTTCGAAAAACAATAAATTGATTCAAATTATTATCATTACAATTATTGTCATTATTAATACTATTATTATTACCATTATTGTCATTATTATTATTATTTTCCACATTATTCACCCTCTTTTATACTTACACAGCGGCTCGTCTTTGGTGGAAATTCGACTGTATCTAAACGTTCTCGAGTCACTGTCCGGTTGAAAATTGTATGTTACCACCGATTACGAGAACTGAAGCAGTTTTTCTAAAACCACGTGCACCATTCAAACTGGCTGCCTTCAACGTTCGCACACTAGTGCAGGTCGGACAACAGACAGGGCTGGCTATGTCTTTGGAAAGTCTTAATATTGATGTTTGTTGTCTATCCGAGACCCGTATTCAAGACTCTGGCGAAGTACTACAAATTCGATCTCCATCTGTCGCTTCGAAAAGCTTGTTTTACGTGCGCTTATCCGGGGACCCTGTGGCATCTTCGTTTGGTCTTGCTGGCGTTGGTGTCGCACTAAGCGCTAGAGCTGAGGCAGCACTAGTTGATTGGATCCCCATTAACAGTCGGCTATGTGCTGTTAGATTAGAAAGTTCCATCGAAGTGAGAAGAAATCGGCCTGAGAAACGATGTCTTTTCGTCATCTCTGCCTATGCCCCGACAGATTGCAGCCCGGATGCAATCAAGGATGAGTTTTACTACCAATTATCTGTTCTTCTCCAGAAAGTGCGCTCGACAGATATTGTAGTACTAGCCGGAGACTTGAATGCTCAGGTCGGGCGTCTAGGCACAGAAGAGAGTCGTTTAGGTGGCCGATGGGGACTCGTTGGTCGCAGGTCAGATAACGGGGACCGTCTACTGCAACTTTGCACAGACCACAACCTGTTTCTGGCTAGCACTAACTTTCGGCACAGTCATCGCCGATGTGCCACCTGGCGACCTCCCTCTGCATCCCAAGCCTGGACTCAGATTGATCACATCACGATCAGCTACCGCTGGCGTGGTTGTGTAAAAGACTGCCGCTCCTTTTGGAGTACCTATCTGGACTCTGACCATGCCTTGGTCTGCGCCAATCTTGCCTTACTTTTCAGTGGACAACGAAGTGACCGCCATCAAAGGATTGATATTAGCAAGCTGGTTGCAACTTCTGTTGCAAGTAAGTATCGAACCGAGCTAGCCTCTAGGCTAGCTACCACCTCACCGAAAGGTATAGATGAGCATTGGCTGCAATTGCTTGACGCCATGAAAATGGCGGGAACAGTCAGTTGTGGGTTTGCGAAACGTCCCGCTTTTAAGCCCTGGGTTTCTTCTGGTTCCTTACAACTCATTGAAGCCCATCGATCCACTCCGGGTGACCGTGAGTTTGACCATAAACGAAGGATGTTACGTGATGAAATTGAGAAAAGCTTGCGTAAGCACCGAGAAGCCTGGTGGTCGGAGCGTGCTAATGAGCTGGAAGCAGCAGCTGCATCTGGTAACTACCGGAAGCTCTTCCAGCTCATCCGAGCCACTGGCAGCAAGAAGTCTGGTGTGAGTGAAACAATCTGCGAGGATGATGGGATGCCAATCACTAACATCCATCGACGTCTTGGACGATGGGCAGAATTTTTCGAAGGGCCTGCTGCTCCGGCTACATCGGTCAGACTGTCCT